AAGCAACCTGGAAACACCATTTGTTTTTTGTGTAATTTTTCCTTTTTTTATAGGCATGAGTTAAAATAATCTATAGTAATTTTCTACATTAATATCCTTTAGACACGCAAATCATAAATAATCTAATATTATGACCGCAAAATACACTCACACCTGTTCACATAAATTTCAATAAATTGAAAAAAAAAAACAAAAAAAAAATAGAGAGAAAATTATTGTAGAAAAAATTGCTAAAAAATATTGAAAATTTAATGTGGCGTGATTTTTTTACAATTTCATTTGATTAAATTTACGCGGTAATAATTTAATTGTGAGAGAAAACTGATAAAATTATTTACAACAGTTTAAATTTATATATTGAAAATAATTGAAATCAGTGCAATATTCTGTGAATGCAGTTATAATGTACAGAAATTATCAGATAATGTCAACCAATCCCAACTACTATATGTCGGCTTCATTTATCTTAATTCATCACAATCTCATGCGTAAAGTTGGGTACTAACAATTTTACCAAAGAAGTAGATGCATGCAAGACATAACTTCCATCTTGGCACAATGCGAGGCCCATCTTAAACCACTGCTGATCTTTGGCTCACAGCACTCGGTGGTGTATACGCAACTCAACGTCGAATGCAACCATTTAACTGAACATTCTTTACGCGCAAGTTTGGATATTAACCACAGCCACTACGAGTCGGACCTCAACTGGTCAGTACAGCCGAAGCTGCGGGCCACTGACCTCCGTAGTAACGGATTTACAACTCTGGTCGTGTGTCGCAAATGCCGACTTCACTTACTACCATGTACACTTTTCGCACAAATGTCGGCATGGCAGCGGGAATTTAGTCGCCTCTTACAACAGACATGCCTTACCTCGGGAAGATTCCAATGCCTTACCTCGGGAATATTTCACCGCACATAAACAAATATATATGTAGTGCACTAAACCTGTGTGGTCGTTTTGCGCTGAACTATGGGGGAGCGTTAGCAAAAAAAAAAAACGTCGAAATAAACCAATGTTTCCAGAACAAGTTTCTATGGAACATAAGGAACAGCGATATACACCGCGATCTAAAATTGTCCACAATCACTGAAGAAATACAAAAGAAAGCAGCATGTGAATACAGAAGCTGTGAACATCATAGCCTCGTATGGACAAACAAGACGACTGAAAAGGCGAAATGTCGCTGGCATGGCATCGAATTCGAATGTAGAGTAATTAATTTAGAAAATTGTTTATATATGTTGTTATATTATTGATCAGATAAAAGCTATTCATTGTGTATAATGTGAATAGTCGTAGCAATAAATAAATACGATAAAGTACACTTCATACCATTTAAGTCTGAAATAGAAGTTAGCTCAACTTTTTATAAATTCATATTTTAAGTGAGATTATTATCAACAACAATCAATATTTTTTCATATAAATTCCTTCAGTTATGTTCTTTAATATGAAGAGTTTATGTCTCAAGAGTACGAACTTTTGAATATGAAACTTTTATGGAAACTTTAAATAACACTTACCCGACACTTGTTACCCGCTTTATCAATAAAGCAATTTAGGAAAACATTTTCTAAAAATTATTTGTTACTTACGTTAAATTAATGACTGTAAATACATTTTACGACTACTTTGGCAGGACATTAGAGGTACTTGTAAAATCTGCATAAAATATGAACTCTGATAAAAACAAAAAAAAACCAAGGGACCGACCATTCAATGTATTAAATAAAAAAGCAAAGTTTCATAAACTCAACATTATTTATGCTTTCAATTTTTTTGCTAAAAAAGTAACAAAAATAAAAATTGTCATTATTTTAAAAAACTTTCCACAACATTTAAATCATTTTGCTGAATACCGCAATATGGCAGCTATTCCAGAGCATTGAGTGTCTCCATTGAGTGTCTCTGTTTCCATTTTGACTCTCCGTCATACTCGTAAAATTTAACTGAAATTTTATGCACGGCGACTACTATTTTCCATATTTTTTTGCTCCATTTTGCCCGTGGACTAAAAGTTATCACACTTACGTTTATTAAGCGTAGAATGGTGAGTGTTAGGGTCATATCTCATGTTGTACCCCATAGATTTTTATTATGACCATTTTGAGTTGGTATTACTTGCGACAAAGTCGTTGTCGATGGTTTCGCTGTCGGTGCCGTCGGTGCTGTCGGTGCTGTCAATGCTTCAATGCGGTTCGGCGGAAAAAACTCTACTTGTTCACTTCCTTTCTGTATTTTTCATACTTTATTACAAGGTAACTTAAAAGCAGTCTAATAGTGCAGTTTCCGTGTTTTGAAAAAGTAGTACTCAGAAAGCACCCTGTATAAGCACAACTAACTAGCATTTTAAAATACTTGCACGTATCACAAAAAGTAAAATAGCAGCTAAAATTATTATTGTGTGATTATTATTATGATTATACGAAAGAGTATAAAACAGAGAGCTCCGTGGCTTCCGAGCTCACTTGAGTTAAATATGTAAAAACACATGTCGAAATCGCCAGGATATCAGCAAACACTATGTTTAGTAGTTATTTAAAATGTCGTTGACACTTGCATTTTAAATTTTGAATTTTGAATTAGCACATTTCAAAATATTTTAGTTTCGCTTTAAACTTTTTTTATCATCATATACTTTCTAATAAACTATACTTTTCTATTAAGGTAGACTAAATTTCTCTTAAGTCTGTAAAGTTCTTATAAACATTTTATTATAAAACAAAAAAGTACAATATACAGTATACATCCGATTAAGACTAGGACATACCATTTTAATTCACATATAATTATTCAATAGATCACCACCATCCTCCTTAGAACTCATACAAACCGAATGCTCGCATCTCTCAAAACACAGAAACACCATATTTGGAAACACACCCCCGTTCAATCTATTAGTTGACACTTCAAAATCAAACATTCTGTTTATAAGTAAGTATCTCCAATGTGTGTTTAGGCACCCAAATGTAACAAAACAAAAAAAAATATGTATTTCTTAATTTAAACTTAACAGTACACCCCATCCCCTCTACAAGCCACCTTTCCACACGCAAAAAGAATAAAAATAAAAAAATAAATCAGGGTAATTAAGCCCTAATCATACTGCCATCATACCTTCAGAGCTAAATCGAAGCTAAATAGTTTAACTTACTGTTTCGAGACAGTGGACTACACCCATAAATGAAAATTCACTGAAGAAGGAGATGGTCTTAACTCAATCTAATAAATTTTATATATTAACACTTTCTTTTTAAATCAACTTTTCACAGAAAAGCTAAGTAAGTAGACTGGTTGACTATATTTTAATTAGGCTTTAATTAGAACAATCACCAGTGATGAAAACATCGATTATATGTATTTAAGTATAGTGTGATGAAGATTAGGTTATAAAAACTATTTGATTGTCTTTGTAAAATATTGAATGCGAATCCTTAAAAATAAGCAAGCTCTTTGTGCGTTGAGTAATGCGTTAACCGACCTTGTCCAAAAACCTAATTTTCTAAATATTCCCAAAAGTCTCTTAGAATGATTAAAGTCAAACAGGGAAGTCTTCTGCAGAGATTCATAACTGTTTATAACACATATTTTCTTTGTTACGAAAGGAGATTGAAGGAGAGAGGACATTGAAAAAATTGTAAAAATTCCAAAGAATGTGAAGACTGCGCCATTAACTGGTAGCTGGTAAGTAGCTCGTCAGTGAAAGGGTTAGAGTACAAAAATTCCAAATGTTTGTCTGTTGCTGAATGACTTGCATTGCATTGCATTTGATATAAGTCGAAGATTCAATCCATTTGACTTAATTGACTTGATTGAGTTACTGCACTCTTCAACAATTTGAACGAGGGAAGTACTCGAATATGAAATAAAAATTTTAATACGTACTGGTAGTTTTTTGCTGAAAAAACAAAAACAAAACCTTCGCTACAGTAACCACAGTGTAAAAAGCTTAAATAAAGTACTCTCACTTCTTGCCAGTTGCAGTAATGCATGCACACAATTATGATATCATTATGATATCGTACATTTTCCTACGTTTTCTTCTTCGCTTAGTGAAGCGTTGAACGAAATATTTGTTACGAGAAAAGTCCACACCTCCGTAAATAATAAAATTATGTCCGCCGGAGGGTGTAGAGTAGACCACATCTATAAATTATTCGATCGAAGTCATTAAATCATGCACATGTGTACCCCCTAGTCTTTTCCAAACACATTTTTCCTTTACCCTTTGTTCATAGTGGAGAGATGATGCATTGAAAGTGCATTGACATTTACGTAATAATGACTCCGCATATGAGCCTGAATTCAACGGTATTTTCCTTTAATTTTTTTTTTTTTAATTTAATTAAAAGGTCGACATTTACCATATATAAAATCTTATTTTGTGCTCTTTTGTCTTTTTATATTTCATATAAAATATAAATCTAATGCATATATATATTTGGTTGTTTATACAAATAAAATATGTATTATATAAATTATA